CACTTTCCATTTGTAATTTAAATCAAATGTCACCCGTTCTGTGTGTTGTATTCGCTGAGCCCCCTTATAGTTTCCTAATCTGAGACATATTGTGTTTGTACAAGCTCATGCCTCTATCACGTCACTTATCAAATTGAATTATTGTTGGTAACATTTCTGTGTCCCTTCTCTGTTAAACTGTGACATTTGACAACTATTAGAACCAAATTTTATAAATCTTTGTATTCTGGATGCCTAGCACAATGCTCTCTTATTAGGTACCTTATAAGATATCCAACAAAATGTATGCAGAACAATTGAACAATTCGTAAAAGATAAAAGTGAATACAAACAACTTTAAAAAAGGGCAGTAAGAATACTGACAGGGTAGGCATCTGTGCTTTAAAAATATGCCTTTATCTTTAAAATAATATATAGAGAATTTAGAACTTAAAGAGACATCAGAGAGGGCCTCCCCGGTGGCGCAGCGGTTGAGCGCTGGGTTGCGAGGCTGCCCGCAGCCTCTGCGGCGCCGGTTCGATCCCCGGCTGCTCCCCGGCCACTGGAGGAGGGTCCCACATGGCGCGCAGACCTCCCCTGCCGCCCGCAGCTCCCCCCAGCAGTGTCAGCAGTGTGCCTCGGTCCTTCTGCCAGCTCTGCTCCCTGCTCTGGCTCTGGTGAATTCTCTCGCCCTCCCGCGCTTCTGACTGTACCCAGTTGCTTGTATGTATAAATAAATAAATAAATCTTTAAAAAAAAAAAAAAAAAAAGAGACATCAGAGATTTGATCATTTTAATATTCCTTCCATTTTAAAAGATGAGGCTGAGAGGTTGAAATAGATTCACAACACAGGAAAATTATGTCAGGGTCAGGAAAAAGTATAAGATTCCAAGATATGGTCATGGTGTCATATCCTACTGTGACAGTCAGTGGGTTTCACTTATAGGCCCTTTTATATCCTGGGGTTTCTTTACACACATTCATAAATTCTTCTACTTTAATGTAGGTATACATAAGTCAGTTTATGTTACCTACAATCAAATGACCCTGACCAGTATACCCCCGTGCCTGCGCTGCCTGGCTCTGGTGTGAGCTCAACAGTACAGGAAAGGATGAGGGAAAAATCTCAAATTCCATCCAGCACCTTTTCTTTATGATAAATAAGGTTCTCATGGCAACAGAAAAATCTTTGATTCTGAACAAGATGTATAGTATTAATACCTCATTGCTTATAGACCAGCATAGAGTAGGAAATGACATCATTGCTTAAGTTCTTGCAAGATATAAATGTCTTTGTTTTTCTTCTAATAATCCTTCAGATTAAAAAAAAATCATAGATGTAGCATTTTGTTCAAATAGTAGCAATAGAAATAATTCTACCAGACAAGTTTTTGTTTCTCTCTGGTTCCCCACATAGCGAAGAACAATTAAGAAATGTTATCAAGGAACGCATGAGCAATTCCAGATATGCTATGACTCAGATGTGCTTAAAATGCACATCAGAATAGGAATCCAGTAAATTTTCCACCAATGAGAAAAATTAATTTGAGTGATTAAATTCAATCAAGCCACTATTGTTGTTTTTATCTTTGATGCCAAGTAGTACTTTGTATTTTAATAGTTTGACGAAACATTTCACTTTCAACTAGCTGTTTTGTTATAATTACTTTACAGAATAATTCTGATTTATAAGACTAATCTTTCAGCACTCTTACATGTGCTTTAAGTTGTCAATTAAACAATAAACTGGAAGAAACATGAACTTATAAGCCAAGTGTAACTTGAAACCATTGCTTAATTAGGCATGCCACACTTACAAGGTTATAATCTCAGCAAGACTGAGTTGCAAACAATTTTCTTTTAATTTTATACCAATGGTCTGTGCAGCATCCAGCTGCTCTGGTTGGTTCACCTCCTGCTACTGCAAAATGGAAGAAGGGTCTCCCGCCACACTCATGACAAAGTTTTGCTATCTCAAATGCAAAGTGACCACAGAAAGCAATTTGTCCCAAGATCTCATAAATGACAGAATCAGTTTAACAATTTTATCTGCACAGAAATTATATTTGAAGTCATATATTAGCCAATATTTACAGGGTTATTACTAAATAATTTCACTCTGTGGGTCAATTATTTTAACTACTGGTGAGTATATTATATAGTTCATTTTAACAGATTTTTAACAGAAAATCTGGAAGATTACACCATAAAAACTGACAGTTACCTTGCAAAGCTTATTCATTGACAAGTGGTATTAGCTATGCTTAAAAATCTCTTATTGTACAATAATTTTTATTGTCATCTATGGTTAGCAGCTTGGGTTTAATCAACCACATTTTGGACTCTTAATGAGATTCAAAACTGGTCCTAAAGGAACCTTGGTTTGGCCAATGGTCCCCTCACAACTCTGAATGGACTGGCTGTCTGCTCAGGGAAGAACACTCTCCATCACCAACACAACATACTCCATTGGCATTTCATTAACACAAAATAGACGTTTGTTAGGTTCCCAGCAGAGAACACAAATCTCAACTCACTCTAAATTTCCATGAAAGCCCCACAAAGAGCAAGGATATCTAAATTTGTGGCCTGGAAGAGTTTCCAGACAGTTAATGGGGCCTTTCAAAGTACCTCCAGGACTTGCAGGTAGCACTAGAGAAGGAGCATATACAAGATCATGGTCACCGCAATGATATACTTCCATTTGAACAGCCCTATGTGTTTTGTGTTTTTTTAATCATAAACAGGCACAGTACTAATAATGAACACTAATATGTCAGCCAATAAGGAAATAAAAATGATAAACATCATGAAAATCAAGAGACCTGAGCATTTCCTGATGATTTGCTTTTGCTCAGGTCTTTTTTCCCATGTCATCAATTATTCCAGCCCAAATTTCAAGCTATTAGCAACATAAATTGACCAAGAGCTCAAAGAGATTCTCTGAAGTTCATACACTAAAAAATCATGTATTTAATATAATCCTCATCTGGAGTATACTTACTCTTATATCAGGCACAGCTCTCATGCTCCTATGTGTTCCTGATGCTTTCAAGATGAAAACAAACAACTCTTGAGAATGACCTATAAGACCTCACATAAGCTACATGTCACTGCTCCACCCTTATTTCCGACACTCATCGCTTTCAGATGCCATTTGTCTATAACTCCTAGATTAGAGTCATTCCCCTGTTATAAACTCATTCCCACACACCTCCCTTTGCAGTACTCATTGCAGATTATATAGTGCTACCTTTGTAGGCTTATTTGATTAATATCTAAGTTTCTCAAGAAACGCTAAATCTCAAGTCTACTTTCACTGCTATTACCAGTAATTAACCTTTTGCACTTGTCACAATGCTTAACATTTTCTATGTACTCAATAAGTATCTCCTGAATAAATTAATGGAACTTTGTGTGTGTGTGTGTCTATCCAGGGTGGATTGAAAGAAGCAAGTTACAGAAGAGATCAGTCCCAAAAACAATCATAGCAACAGCAATCTCATAATGTAGAAGGGAAAGAAACCTATAAAAAGTGGACAGAAGAACTCAGAAATCATTGGTGTCTAGAGACACATAATCTTAACAATCATTAGACATTTAAGACATTGTTAAGTAGCCTTTAATAGCATCATTATTTTACTGTATGGTGTAATAATTGAAGTCATCAAGGAAAGGTTAGGTTTTTATCTATGGGGGAGATAAGAGAGAAATTAGCAATTCACCTTCAAAATACTTGCATTTTGTATTTCTTTAAAAGCTTTCCCTATCTTCTGCATGTGAGATGCCCGTTATTGAGAAAATATATTCCTCTGTTTGCATTCCTCTTCCACCTCCTACCAATTTGAATAAATGAAGTGTTCCCCAAACTCACATTAGGATAAGTAACCTTGTATTGTAACACTTCTGTTTTACCCAATTTGATAATTGCAAGAAAATGATTTTCAAATTCCCCTTTGTATTTATAGTCTTCACGAAAGGATTAATGTTACATAATATTTCACAAAAATTCAGCTGAATAAAGAGGATACCTGGCTGAATGTAAACCAAATTTTGTCTTATGTTGCCTGAACAAAGCAAAAGAAGTTTCCACTTGAATTCTAAATGGAAGATGACCTTGTGCTTTTTTGAGAAAGCCTGGCAGCTGAGGTCACTGGAGTGTATTATGATGGACAGTGCAGTGCTGTGCGTGGCTCGGAGGCATGTCCATTGTGTGGATTACAGCCAAACAGAAAGAATTAGACAGCTCAGAGCATTCTATCATTTCATTTGAAAATAATGTTCAAAGTCATGGTCAGCAACCATTACAACTTTCATGAAAGAGAAACAGCATTCAATAATTCCAGCACTGAGGAAGGCAGTTCAGTTATTCTCAGCCTAATTCAATGAGTTCAGAATATTCTATGTCAGTTCCTAGTGACACTCAGTGCAGTCACATTTCTGCTTCTGCAGTAGTCAAATCCCAGCGACACCACTGTGTGGAGTTCTGCCTGACACGATGGAGCTCACCGCATCAGAGTGACCAAATCATTGAAAGAAATACAAGAGAGGATGCAGACACTTCACACGACACTCTCAGAATGCAAATACACAGAAACTCCACATCACCCACTTGCCTTAAGTCATCTTTCTGCTGATAAAGCTTAAAATCAGTTGTAAAACAAAATGTTTATAATTCCTTCTCTAACAGTAGCAGGCACAAAACATTTTCAAAGAGATCTAACCTGTTGGCAATGATTCCAAATGAACCACCTAAGTTTTCCGAAAGACTGCTACTTCAGTAGAATATTTTGATAGAGACCTATTTTTAACTACTTCTATCAGAGTAGATTAAGGTAGCACAATAAAAGTGTTTAAAATTTAAAAGCAGATGGAAAAACTCACACTTCTGATTAAAAGGGGAACTGTTTCTAATACTGGGCTTTCCACCCTGCTTGAGTAGCTTCTATATATAGAGGAAAAAGCATACCTTGTCACTTCTGAAGTATTTAGAGACAAAAAAGTAAATGTCATAACTTACCATTAAAATTTACAGCCCGAATATAGCCAAGTAGCTCTTTGCCATCAATGGTGGTCATTCGTGGGCAAAGGCCGATATAGCCAGGGCAGAGGTCCTTGTGCATGTTGTGCAGGGCATAAGCCATGGAATACACTGCATCAATTACAAACTGGACCTTCCCTTCCTGTTCATAAGATGAATCCCGTGCAATTCGCTCGAGCCCTGTCAAACAGAGAGAAAGCCCATCAGTTGGTGGTGTTAAATTTCACTAAAAGATGGCATGAGGGCAAAAATTTCCATAATTTCAGGCACACTTAGCAAAACAAAGCACTGACTTTACATCCAATTATTTTAGTCCTATACTTACCTAGTCAGGCTTTTAAACTGGGTATTGAATCTTCAATTTGGAAAGAACAGGAGATATTTCATTAGTAACAAAAAGAAAGCAAATAAAAGACATAAAATTTCCTTATCTTTATTTCCACCTTGTTGAGTCCTATTACAGTGTATGTCCTGGTAATTACATAACATTTTGGCAGTGACCTGATCTTTAAAGTAAAATGTGTATCACGTCATTCTTTTCATCTGTCACAGTTCCAGGAGCATGAATTAATTAGTGACCTGAAATAAGGCCTTCTCCACACCCTCGACTCCCTCGATCTAGTCTTATTTTGAAAGTACTTTATTTAAGAGCCTTTATTGTAAATATTAAATTTTATTTCCTTAAGTGAATCTGACTGCCTTTAGGAGAATCATTCAATTGATTTTCTTCTCAATTTTCTATTTTCTTTTTAAAATTTTCCAGCTGTGTTGAAATAGAATTGACATATAACATTGTATAAGTTTAAGATATAAAATGTGATGATGTAATATACATATATTGTGATGTCATTCCCATGATAATGTTGGTTAACACATCACATCCATCATTTCGTGCAGTAACCATGTTTTTCTTGTGGTAAGAACTTACATGCTCTAATCTTCTGGCAACTTTCAGCATATAATCCAGTATTATGGTCAACATGCTGTACATAAGCTTGCCATCAATTTTCTATCTTAATTTTCTATTTAACATGTTGTAGAGCTCTCAAAAATTAATGTTACTCTAAATGGCTGTACCTGTATTTAGGCATTTTTAGCCTTGAGAATTAGCACTGGGGATTACCTTTAGGGGGTACTTGCCATTTAAGATGTAATAGAAGCATAGACTTAAAAAGGATGATAAACTGGATGTTAAATTAGATGATATATAATTATTTATAATCCAACATTCTCATTTTGAAAATGGAGAAACCAAGACTTGTGGAGGTAAAATTCAGTGAGGGCACATAGGGAAGACATGGAGTGTTCCAGACCCAAAAAACCTCAATATTCTCTCAACTCCCAGAAAAAAAAAAATGTACGTGGATGATAAGACTATTGGACACATAGAAGAAAGTTACAGAAATGACATTAAGTCTGATTAAATGGACCAAGGAGGATCTGCTACCATTTCTGCATGTCCCCCAAACCTTACATATCTGTGAACACAGAGAGACCATGAGTAAGGGTTTGTAACTTCCTTCCCCATTCTGTTAGTAACTGCTAATGAACAATCTTTACATGAAAAATAAAAACCCTCTTTTCTTCACTCTAATGCACATCTCCTCTGAATTTGAAGAGTTGAATCGAAGTGGTTGTTTTATATTTGGGTTTTATAACTTGATAAAACCAATAACTTCCTTCAGACAAGTGTAGTGGTCAATTAATTCACTTTTATCAATCCAATTATGGTAGAATTTTTTACACTTGTTTTACTCTGCTCCTGCAGATGCTATTATTTGGTGCTCCACTCTCTGAAGACTGTCATGGTGCTGAACTTTGCTCCTCCCTTTCCAACATGTCTTTGGGATTTTTTTCTTTTGCAGTGACTCAACTTTCCATGCCTCAAAGCTGAGTCCTCTTTTTTTTTTAAAAAAAAGATTTATTTATTTATACATACAAAACTGGGGTACAAGCCAGAGGTGTGGGGATGAGAGGATTCACCAGAGACAGAAAGGGGAACAGAACAGGCAGACTGACTGAAATACACTGCTGAGGGAGCACCAGGCGAGTCAGGAGAGTTCTGCTGCACCAAGTGGGTCACCTCCCTGGTTGAGGATGGAACTCATGCTGCAGTGGCTGTGGACAGTTTCATAGGCTGCGTCTTAATCCCTTGAGCCACCAGGGAGGCACTGAGTCCTCTTTTTTTACTTCCAATCTCAGAATCTATTCAATTGCAACATCTCCAACTATTACTATGTCTGTAACCAAGAAACATAAGTTGGAAACGAAAATGTTGGTTATGGATTCTAAAGCATTAGAGCAAGCTATAGTAATCCATTTAATTCATTTTGGAATCTAGTTTTCTGGAAAATTCATTTTCTAGAATTTTCTGTCATCTAGTTGCCTGTCCACGTTTCTAACTACCTATAATGTTTCTATGTAGTTTGCTTCTATGTGAATCTCAATAGGTCTAAAACTCACTTTCATTGTAGGAAATTACATTATTAATTCCTTAAAACCTCCTATGGCGGTTTTGTAGGTTTGAGAGCACAAAGAGAGAGGCAAGATCAGTTTCACAAAGAGCATCTTTTAGGTACCAAAAGGAGTATTATCTATCCTTCAACCTACTTCAGCTGCATGATCTATCTCTGTATGGCATTTTGTCTCCTGGTGCTTAGCACAGTACTGCTTAAGTACAGAATGTCATCAAGTGACCTATGAAAACAGCCCTTTCTGTTTCTTTATGAAATTCCTCTCTCACAGTTTCAACAACCGAGTAGACAATTCACAAATAGTGAAGAATAATCAAAGCGATCAAGACCGTATCTAATGCCCAACTACTCAGCTCAATTTAGGACAGAGCTTTCTCAGGACATAGGACCAAAACCTAAACAGCCCTGGGCAGACCAAGATGGTTGCCTATAAACAAAGGCAAATGACAAGGAAATTTAGTGCTACGAGTCTGAAATAACTAGTCCCTAGATCCATATGGAACATCCTGTGTTTCAATTATTTTGCATCACTGAACATATAAGTGATAATGAAGACTAGGAGTCCCAGATCAGTTATTCCCATTCTTGGTTATCTTAGTAATTACAGATTCTTCAGTACCACTTCAGACTTCCTGAATCAAGGGCTCCCAATCTGGAGACATGATGAATCTGTCACTTCAAAACACAGACACTAAACTCTCTTAGTTCAGGCTGTTATAACAAAATACCATAGTCTGGGTGACTTGTAAACAACACAAGTCTATTTCTCACTGCTCCTGATGCTGCAAATCCAGGCTCAGGATGCCAGCATGGCCAGGTCTGTGGAAGGCTCTCTTCTGGACAGCGCACAGCTAATATTCTTGTATCCTCACACTACAGAGAGCAGAGAGGAGGCAGCCTCTTGTGAATCTTTTCGGGGTACTAGTTCATTCATGTGGGCTCCCCATCTAAGTCTAACTACCTCTCAAAGTTTCTACCATCTAATACTATCACATCAGGGGGCAGGTTTTGAACATGTGAATTGGAGGCATTGGGGGGCCATTTAGCCTTCTAACAGTAACATTTCAGGTATGGTGTTTATATGGTTGCTATGTCAATTCTTCTGCTACAGACACAGATACATACAACACACATGTACACATGTGTGCACACACTCTATGAGCATTATTACTTGTTTCTCTGACTTTGTTATCTTTTTAGACTTTAAAAAAAAGAGAGGATTTCCATGTCTCCCCTACCACAGAGTAAAGTGGAGAGAGCAGGCAACAGAATTGACAGAAAATGCCCATCCAAACCAAATCAATTCAAAGAAAGCAATGACCATGAGAAATTAAGGAATTTGGGGGATTTCCATGATCTAATATATGTAAGAAGTAGACATGTATGAATATCTTATAATTTTTTAATTTACTCTATCCCAAAAGGTCCTGGATTTCAATTATGATTTTATTTTAGTGTTATTGCAACTTCCCTACCAATCTATAAAGATACTTCGGGAACATTCAACAATTGGGATAAAGTTATTCCACATGTTCCTGATAAATTGTAATAGAGATGTCTCCACTTAATAAACATACTCTACCTTGGCTTTTCCTTAAATAGGCAAGCAAACAAAAACCCCAAAATTTCAACTTCATCTATACCACACCATCTTATTGAAGGGAAATATTTAAATTTTCACTAGGGTCTCCCTGGTGGTGCAAAGCATTGTCTCAGCACTATGAAGCTATCTCCAGTCACTGCAGCATGAGTTCAATCCCAGGCCAGGGAGGTGACCCACATGGTGCAGCAGACCTCTCCCATCTCGCCCACTGCTCCCCTCAGCAGTGTATTTCAGTAGATCTGCCTGTTCTGCTCCCCACTGTTTTGGTGAATCCTCACCCCCCCGCCATCTCTGGCCTACACCCCAGCTCTTATATGCACAAATAAATTTTAAAAAATAAATTTTCACTAGTCAAAGTATTATCTAGACATATCTAGTTATAAACTTTAACTGGTTCGGGTGAAACTAAATGCATCCAACTTTGCATGTTATCTTTGAAAATAAAACTTCACAAGGCTGTCTAGTGACTATTGTCACACGAGTCAGTAATGAAACTGTAAGAATGTTTCCTCATCTTAATGTAAGTACATACTGACAAAGTGAAAGACTGAACGCTAGTCCCACTTCTCAACTGTTTAGATTGCCATTTAGGCTGTTTAGACACTGTATTTTTTTGCTGTCCTAACACTTCAACCTCATGATGATGACACTTTAGATTTTATAGTAGCTAGACTTGTTCCTGTCTTCCTATATCTGGATCCCTCATTCATCTGAAAGAGGAGCTTAAGAAGCTGACAGTGACTCATCAACTTAATTGGCTGTAAAATTTCATTATGCTATAGTTTCTAAAGTTAGTGTTCATACATTGCTATAAAGTGCTAAATATTGTCAAAGGCTATATGTCAGCCATCCATTTAAAACACTGATTGTAAAGTTGGGATGCGATTTAGTGTATAACTTAAAATTAACAACATATAGCAAAGTATTTGCATGATGGGAGATGAAGTCAGTCTCATAAATTTTATAGTAAGATTGGTTTATGTATTCATTAAAGAAATCTAAAACTTCTGACTATATCTTCTATTCCTGGGCAATATAGTAAATTCTTGCTGGTCCATCCACAAAATACCACATGCTCTTTAATTAAGGCCTTTTGCACATCA